CTTTACCGGAATCAGAACTCTTGCCCAGAAGAAAATAATCTTGCTGAAGGAGGAAGCACTTCCTTTTACTCATTTCACTCTGTTAGACTGTTGCTGCTCTATCTGTTGAACTTGACTCTAAAAGTACGTTCTGAATTACATTTGGGTTTTGATATTCCTTTTGCCCCTTGCTTGTTCTATTATACTGTAATTGTGGTCCTACTCTTCATCAAACACTTGAATGTTTTATGCAACAATTTTAAAGAATGTTTCATATATCATATATATATATATATATATATATGAGAATGGTTTCAGGCTACGACTTCCATGCTAATTTAAAACATATTCAGGTTTTGAGTTTGACACAGAATTGCCTTTTGAGACAATCTGGCATTTGGGTATGTCTAATTTTGCCTTTTGAGACAAGCTATTTTTGACACAGAATCTCTTTGTAAATAGCATTTCAGTCCAGAATAATAGACAACGTATATAGAAAACTCCTTTTGGTTAAATATACAGAAAACTCCTCTTGGTTAGCATACAGAGACCTAGACCTAGTGTAGTTACCAATTACTTGTACTTGTGCCCAATGCTGGGCCCCAAATATGTAACCCATTTCAAAGTGTGTTGGTGGGTTACCTTAAAAACATTTGGGCCCAATTTCAACTGTGCTGGTATTGGGCAACCAAAGCAGTAGACTAGTTTAGTAGATAACTCAATTTCAGAGGTTGAGCTAGGGGTCTGTTTGTTTGCTTGTAACTTTTTCATAATAATGCATCAGTTTTTGAATGTGCCTAGAAGGCTACACCACCAGTCAATTTCAATGAGCCAACCTCTCCCAACATGAGGCATCCAACTGGAGAAATCTAGTATCATCACAAGCATGACATTTAAGGGTGGATGTGGATGTGGTGGTGGGTCTTTTCATCCAATTTACCTGCTTTCCAACAAACAATCCATAGGCTAAAAGCCAGTAGCTAGGCAGGCACATGTGACAATGTCACTGTATATATTTCCATCATAGTTTTTTTTAATTTTTTTTTTTTTTTTTTTAAAAAAAAACCGAGTCTAGGTGGAAGGAAGGGTTATAAGATTTTATGGGCCCGATCAAAGCCCCAAACCAAACAAATGAAATGAAATTATGAATGAAAAAAGAGATTTTATGGGCCAAATTAGGGGAATAAGCTGATTGTTTATGTACTTATGGAGTAATAAACCCCAAGTGGAGGCAGGCTTGTTGGTTCAATCTGGAAGATTACATGCATGGCTTACAAGTTTAGGATGGTCTAATCATGCTATTTTTGGCTGCTGGGGGCCATTGGCTGTCCATAGGGATTTCATGTCCATGACCATGTGCATAGATTGTGTACGAACCAGACCAAGCTATATTTTGCGATGATGATATGACACAGATTTCCCACACAACGGCATCAAAGCTAGTAAATGCCAAAACACACTTGTCATGATCATCACTGCCTAATAATATATATGTAAATCTGCTACCATATGCCCTCATAGCCATGTGTGTTTGCCGTTAATTCTATGTACATGCTAGGTATTCTCTTAAAATCATTATTATTCTGAAATTGTAGTGCTCTCTCTTGTACTATGTACGTGTCTATTTTTTCACTCGGCTCGCGTTATAGGATGTTTAAGCCTGGAGAGACGAGAATGAAAATCGAACTCTTAACATAAGTGTGGTGATAACCACTCTCAATACTGCTAAATTCATTTACATGTACTGGCTTATCAGCAGACCTAACCTACTATAAATTGGAGCAGCAAATTAATACATTTTTGCACATTAACCCTAACTGCTCGAACCATCCAACCACCCCATTGTTACCAGGCATGTACACCAAACCTATATTATATATCCTAGAAGCAAACTAATAATTTTCTGACCAGAAAACCTATATTTTATTAGTAATGCTACACTTATCACATTTTTATCTCATATTTCTATACCACGTGATGTGGCGTGTCCATTTTATATGTCATATCAATTAAATTAATGAAGTGTATTTTAATTAAAGCAATTGGAAAAATAAATACTGAAATAAATCATAAAAGAAAAGAAAATATTAAATAATTTTAATTGATGTGGATGTCCACTTCAGCTGCCATATAAGATGGTATAAAGATGTGGTATACAAATGTGGTAAGAGTAGCATATATTGCCATTTTCAGAAATGCACAAGTACTAATAATATATATGGCAAATCCATTTACCTTTTCGACAAGAACCGGTTAAATACTAATCGAAGGTTAAAGTAAGATTTTTTTCTTCAGTTTTTTTTTTTTTTTTACTGTTGCTTTTCACGATAATATCTTGTGATATCCTTTTGTGTTGCATAGTTATAATTTTGGATAAATAACATTATGAACAGCAGACATTTATTCGATAGTATATAGATTATTATATTTAAAAAAAGATTTCAAACGCACGTATGTCTAATCTCTGTGTGCGTACAACACTTAATCAGATTAGACTTTTATATTTGGCATATACCTGCATATTTAATACACGATAGCAACAAGTAATCACTTTACACTCGGTTTTTTTATACTTTATACAAAAAATTAGGATCACTAAGAATATAAATATATTAGCAACATCGATGGCCCACAATGAATTAGAGCACTACCAAGATTTGCATTGATCCCAATTACTCAAGACTCCAAAATTATGGGTAAGAGAGACCTTCATGAAATATGAATAGCACTATTTTCTTATTTTTGATCAATAACGTTATGATAGATGTGATAATGCTTTCACGTGATATAGTATTATTGGTCGGAAATAACAAAACAGTGATATCTCCATTGCAACTAAGTTTTTCTACCTATATGTAGAGTATGGACCCAGTAAAAGAAAAAAAAAACATGAAAACTTTCAAACGGGCAGCTAGTTTTCAATTTTCATAAATCCCATAATTTTTCATATCTTTCTTTCTTTGAACGAGTTAATACAAATTAAACAAACCCTACCAGCCAGGGCACAAGTATTTAAGACATATGCACGATAGGACATTACTAGTTTTATATGCCATCTTCTCTTTTTCAAGGCCATTGACAATCGTCCCCTTGAGTTATTACGAATATAATCTTTAGCTTTAGGTATATATCAAACCATCAATTGGTGCAAGAGTATGGTCCTTGTAATATTTTGTTCATTTTTCTATTTGGGGATTTTGTTCTATAAGTTTTAACGCATAAAATAATTTATCCACCCCTATAAAAAGAAAGGAAAATATATGCAGCATAATGCTCATTGGTTAGGGGGGAGACAGTAACAAGTTGAGCCATTGGGGGCATATGAAACACCAGATTTCCACCATTTTTCCGATCCTCTAGTTGAAGGGAAAAAAAAAAGTATATCACAGAAATAACACTGTTTTTGTACTCCTAATCAATCACGTTCTGTCACGAGTAGATAATAATTCTTTCGGAATATAACTAATTAAGAATAACAAAACAGTATTATATCCGTGAGATTCAAGTTCTTCTCTTCGTTAGTAGTTTGAGACCCAATCATTCAATGGCTCCCAATCAAAAGGTAATTCCATCAAAATGAAGGGTCCAGATTGATTTAAGAGATGGTGGGCCATGATCCAGTAGAGTTATTAAATAAATTTAAAACTCACCACCGATCCCCCTCAATGGTGTCAGCAACTGCACCATAAGGAAAAAAAAGAAAGAAAAGAAAAAAGATAGAGGAATGATCCACCTGTTTGTCAGTGACGTTGTATATTGGTTTGGGCAATGACCAGCACCCTGACCCCACCACCTGAGCCAACACCTGGAACTGATAAGGTGTGGACCCTACCGTCCTATTACCCCCACCCCCTCTCTGAAAATCTTAATCATTGATGCAGTAAACCCTTTGAGATTCATGGCAGGAGAGAGCCATGTATATAGAATCAGAAGGATATCAAAAGGCTGTGAATTTTTTTTAATACCTACATTGCAGTATAAGTAACTCACTGTTTCATCCCTTTTCACTCCCCATTTAGCCTTCACTATACACATGAACACAAACTTGGTGGTGGCCTAGAGAGAGAAAGGGAGGAGAGAGAGAGCCCAATTGTTTTGTATGTTAGGTAGGAGACTTACCCATAGCATGCAAATAAGATCACTTTCACCAACACAATAAAAAGCAGAAAGTAAAACTTGCTTTTCATTGAAAAGAAAATGAAGGGGAAAAAGAAGAAGAAGAGAGGATTAATTGCACAAACAATGATGATCGTATACTGTGTGGTAAAAAAAAACTCCCAAAATGAGACTATTAATAGAGAGCAGCCAAAATAACCCATGTTAAAAATAAGTGTCTTCTTTTCTTCTCCAAACCCTAAAAAACTCTCTCATCCCGGCCATATCATATTAATCACACAAAAAAATTGGAATAAATAAAAATAAACCTCAGGAATTTTAAGAGCAATCAATCAAACCTCACGTGTGTTGTTACACAGCAAACTACTACACATGTGGGAAGAAATGACGACCACCACCGACGACGACAACGACGACGAACAACTGCTGACCATCCATCATCATCTATGAATGGTGACTAGTACTATCATGCCGATCGTCTCCCCCGTGGTGCGAATGGGACCCACTTGCTTGCTGGGACTCTGAAACACCCGTACTGGACATGTGCCGGTATGGGTTAAGCCCAGCGAGCATATTTAACTGCCCGTCACTCATGTTATCGCCGTCGTTACCTCCACCGCCTCCGCCAGAGCCTCCCAATTGTTGCTGACTAGGCAATAGGGTCATAGGAGCAGGAAAATTCATGAAATGTAACCCACCTGGCATGGTCCCTCTATACAACCCGCTGTTGTTGACCGAAGCTGGGAAAGTCCAAATAGGGTCTCCACTCATAACCTGGTTATTAGAATTCGCCACCATCCAAAAATTTGCCGGAATCTGGCTGTGGTGGTGGCTGGCCGGGACTGCGCCGGTGCTAGACTGCAACAAGTATCCTCCACCACCTCCACCGCCGCCCCCACCCATTTGATTCAAGTCCTGCTCCGGCGGCCTCCGCTTCCTCCCTCCCATGCTCCCCTCCCCCGACGCCGTCTCCGAGAGATCCAACGACACCGTGTCGCGCAGCTCCTGCTTGGCCTGCAACATGGAGGCGTGCATGCTGTTGGTTTGAAAGTTTAGCAGAGTCGACGAGCTGTCCGAGGACGAGAGGCCGATGCCCTGAAAGAGGCTCCGGCGCTGGTTCTGGTGAACCGAGAAATTGGGGCTGTAATAAGAAGATCTTAACTGCGACGGCACCGACATGCTCGAGCCGGAGCTGCGGAGCGAGATGTTGAGCGATGTGAAATTGGCGGGGGTTGTGCCGGGGCCCCGTGCGGCGGTCACCGGTGGACCGGGCGCGCCC